ATATATTTCTCATCTTTAAGTCGTTGTACAAAGGGATTGCCATTCAGCAAATCTGTTTGTAAGTACAATGTATCTTGATCAATATCATCCCTCTCATCTCTCTCCACCATCCCTCTCAACATGAAGCTTTTCTTCAGTTTTCCTAATTTCATAGGATGTGCATTGAACATTGACTGAATGTTCTCCTTCTCCCTCTCTTCATGTTTGAAAACAGTTGCTTGTTTGTTGTTGTTGTTTCAGTAGTGTCATTTGAACTCAAAGCCCCTTGCTTTCCTAGGCAGGTGATCTACCACTGCTTTATACCTCCAGTGCTTTGGTATGCTGCTTATTTTTTTAGGTAGGATCTTGCTTTTTACTCATGTGTACACCTGAACCTCTATCTGTCTATGTTAAGCTTCTCATTGTAACTGGGAATCACACATATATGCCACTATACCCAGCTTCTTTCTGTTGAGATGGAATCCCTCCAACTTTTCTGTGTGGGCTAGCCTGGAACAGTGATCCACTAGTCTCAGCCTCTCACACACCTGAGATGACAATTGTGCTTCACTGCACCCAGCTAGTGTTTGGGTAGGCATATCCCATATGTATAATTAGGCTGGTCTCAAATTGTGATCCTTCTGATCTCAGCCTCCCAAATAGCTAGCAAAATTACAGGTGTGAGCCACCCAGCTTTATAACAAGTGTTTTAAATCCAAATCAACCTCTTTGTCTTTGATTTATTACAATTGTCTCCTTTGACTTTCCAGCTTGCACCCTAATCCTCCTAGGGGATCTTTGTTGAAGATACATCAAATCTATCTCTCCTCAAAGCCCTCCACAGGTCTTGCATTTTGTTCAGTGTGAACGCCTGCATCCTTCCACTGGACTACAAAGTCCTACCCAACTTGTTTTTCTCAGACCCCATCTGAAGATCGCTGTTCCCTCTTTGTGCAAACAGCTCCACCCATGCTGGTGATCTTGCTATCCCCCACTTCCACAGTCATGAAGAACAACTTGGCAGTGTTTTCTGATTGGCAGGCTAGCCTTTCAGCATGGCTCACACTAGTTCCCTTCTAGCTTGTGATTCCCTTTCACCTTTTAAATAAGGCCTTCCCTTCCCCATTCCATGTAAAATGAAGTCTCCCCAAATCCAAACACTTCAACCTCCTAACCTATTTAACTTTTCTCTGTCCATATATCAACATCTAATAATTATTTCTTGGCTGGTTTGTTTATGGTGATACTGCATGTTTGAAATCGTGGCCCCACACTTGCACCATGTGCTTTTCCACTTGAGCATCTTCCTAGCACTTATTTTGCTTTAGTTCTTTTTTAAAATAGGGCATGTGTTCTTACACAGTGTGATCTGGACCACCATTTATTTATTCTTCCTAGATAGCTGGGATGATAGACATGGGCTAGGCCACATCCAGCCTTTATTTGTTGAGATGGAGTCTCATAAACTTCTTTTTCTGGTCTGACTGCAATCTCAACTCCACCTACTACCTAGTGGGATTACAGTCATGTGCTGGCATATGTGGTTCTTGATCTTTCTTGACACTGCAAGTACACAACTGAAGACCTAAGAATTGTAGCTGAATGCCCACTCTCTGGATTCTATATGGTCTTACTCTGCACTTCTCTATGATCATCCTCTACCCTCACCCAAATTCGACAAGTTGGGTCATATTGCTTAAGTCCTTTCATTGCAATGGACTGACTGAATTTTACCTGATCATCTTAGGAATTTGCACGCAAGTAGGCTGCAAGCTCTAGGGAACGTATGCTGATTTGCAGTGATAGTCTACTTAATTATTGGTATATAGTTATTTCTTTCTCTGTATGCCCACTATTTAGTAAGAGAACTAAAAAGCAGCATTTGTAATTCTAGTTTTCACCTAATAAAAGCTGTATTGATGGAGGCTATGGCAATTGTCATTTTCAAGTCATATTTAATCTCCTTCAATGACTTTCTAGCATCTATTAGCAATTTTGTATCCTCAAAGTATATTGACTCTTCTTTTATCCATATTATAGCAAAGCTGTAATTATAATAATTACAGGGTGAAAGGCAAATAGAAAGGTCATCTCATACATCTGCTAGCAGAACCTATATCTAAATCACACAGTCTGGTTTTGCATTCATGACACACAGTAATTTTCTTTATATATAGATTACTTGAAAATCAGAGGCAAAAGGAGGTTTTCTTTTTTTTAATATTTGCCCCATAATCCAATTTTAAATTAACTTGAAATTACTTTAAGTAGTTCATTAGTTTATAATAGTATTTTCCAGTTTTGCTTCTGGAAAGTAGAATTAGAAAAAAAAGGCTTAAAGGAGATTGAAAGGAGTTGAGCATAGAAGGTATCAGACAAAGGACATCAAGAAACAATGTAAAGTGTAACTTTTTTACCCTTTGTCTTTTAAAAAAAATTCTAAGGGAACTGAGATGATCTTTTTCTCCAGGTATTCATCACTTGAACACAAAATTACAAAAAACTCAGGGATGATTAAGAGATATATAGGCAAACTATAGGGTAGCTCTGGAAAAAATAACTCCAGTCACTGAAAATTGAAATGTTTTCTCTCTTAACATTTTACTGATAATAAAAGCACACAATGATAAAATTTAGTCTACATAGATAAGTCTGAGAAAAGGGAAAATCACTTGCCTATATTCCTGCCACATCAAATGCTTTGCAGACTGATTTAAAAAAATCTTTTTAGCAACTTTCCAGAAAAAAATTCAAGTGCAACTCCCTGTATAGCCATATGAATGTGTGACAGTATAGCTGATATGGGAGAGAGATATACATTTTAAATTTTATTCCAAAGGAAAAATGGTATCTTCTGTATGGCAATTGCTTGTTTTACCTTTAAATGTACTTTAAAGACCTTTCTATATACTTAATAGTCATGCAAGCCCCATGAGAAGGAGCTCTTGTCTTTTTAAGTGCTGAACCTGAACAAATGTCTTGAATGCACTCTTCTTCCTTCAACTAAAATTTCTTAGACAAATGAATGGGGGAAAAGTCAGAAAACAGATTGACTCACTCTTTTGTTCCAAAGTATAAATTTCATTGTTTCATGTACAGAAATACCCAGCTAACTACTGATGAACACTTTAAATGTTATCCTTTAGCTATTACTGTAGAAAACATTCTTGAACATCTGTTAAACCTTATTCAAACATATCGCTAAGTGAACCTAAGGAAATTGTTCGGCAATGTTACAGTTCAGTCTATTGAATTTCTAATTTTAATGAATATTAACAAATGACATTCTCATAGATTGCATCAGTATATAGTCTTTTTTTTACAACGTATTTACCCTGCAGCAGCAAATAGATAAAAACCTAAACAGTAGTAATAAAAATGTATATTTCTAGAAACAGAATATTCTTTCATCTCTGGCCTATTATTGAAAACTGTCTTTAAACAAAACTAAAACTCCTTTTGGCTTTGCTGAGCAATGTGGATATCTTTTTTCTCAGACAAAATAATCGTTCCTATTGGCCAGTGTTTTGGAATTTAGCCAAGATTCATGGCTAGCTGCTTCTTTTGTATAGTCTAATAATAAAATACAATTATTATGTCTTTTCTGTGAAAAAATGCAATTAGTGCATTTTTGTTAAATACAAATAACAATTTAACAGCATACAAGGATTATCAAGAAAGTGTTTATAGGAAGCACACACGAAGCAGTCCTGCAGAAGTGCTTGGAATTCTATCACTCTTCCAAATATTCCACTGCCTATTGACATTAAAATAAGAAAAGTAACCTATATGCAGAAAGAAGGTTGTACTCCCATTAACATTCATGAGGGCTGGCAGCTGAAGTCCTACACATTAAGTAGGGAATGTATCTTTTGTCTACTGATGAGAAAATGTCTCAGTGATAAATGGTGTCAGACAGGGGTGTCAGAAGGGCAACAGCGCACACAACAGCTCCAAGTTTTTTCTTTCTTTCTTTTTTTAAGTCTTCTGTAGCTTATTTTTTTTTGGTAGCATTGTGACCATCAGTGCCTAGTTTCTCAAGTAAAAGACAAATATTGCAATGTAGAATTCCTAAACTTTGCCGAGGCACTTCTTAGAAAGCCATAAACATGCCCCTTGGAGAAAAAAAAAAAAAAAAAACCAGAACAATGTTTAGGAGAGTTCATGAGATATAAATATGCAGACACTATGAAAAGAAGTGGTTGGCACCCAGCTTCACGCCTGGATGAAACCAAAATGGATATTGTAATGAGTTAGCATGTCTGTCCAAGGTCACCCAGACTGAGTGACCATCATCAAAAAGCTGTACATTCCTTTACACTCATTCAGTTTGCATTCGTTTGGCGAACATGTGAGAAACATCACAGGAAGACACGAACTTATCTCACAGATTAATTTCTTAGAATCCAACCCTCATTGACATTGACTTTCAGTTAACTGTGGAAGGAAAGAAAGTTAACTGGTAAGTTACAGAGAACCTCACCGGCTGCTTAACAAAGCCCGAGAAGGAAGCTGGAGGGAACACATCCCAGGCCGGGCTGCCGAAGGCTCAGTCTCCTCACCTAGAAACACAGGGCTGACCCCCCTCACTCACACCGCAGTACTTTTGCTTCTAAAGAACAATAAGCACAGTGCAATTTTCTAGAATGGGGATGTCAAGGCTGTACTGTTTCAGTGTTTTTCCCCACAGGCAGGGCAAGAAGAAATGCACAGTAGCTCTTCAGCTCCTCAGCCCCAGCTCTCTCCCTCTACAGGGAGGGACAAGTCTTTGCCCAGTGAACACGGGACAGAGGCGCACCCTGCAGGTGGCTCCTGATCTGCGGCGCCAAAGGGGAGGAGTCTTCCCGGGACGGGGCATCAGACCACGCCCCCCCGGCGTGGTTCGGAGTCACGGCGGCGCAGGCGTGCTGGGCGTGGTTGGACGCTTGGGGTCCAGGACGCGCTCTCGCGCCCCCGCCCTCCTCCTCCCTCCTCCGCCCGCTCCCGCCTCCGCCCACTCGACGCGATGACGCACCGCAGGTTTGCGGACGTGGCGTCGGCGCACACCCCGGAAGCTGGGGACGTTGGCGGTCGCGGCCACCCCCGTGGTGGACCAGGACAGCCGGACGCTGGGGCTCAGCCATGAATTTGTCCCGGACAGCAGCGGCGGCCTCGAACCTGGTATCCATGTCTTTGCCGCGCCCCCCCTGCTAACGGATCTGGTAAAGATGGCGGCGGGAGGTGTGGGGGGGGGGTGGCCGCAGACCCGGCGAGAGGGCCGGGCTGCACCGCAGGTGCGACCTCGCGGGGTCGGCGCTGGGACCCCGGGCCGCCGGGGGTGGGGGGGATTCCACGTCCCGACGCGAGGGACCTGGGGTCGCTGCCCCGCCGGGCGAGCCCCGACCCGGGGAGGGGCTCCTCCCACCTGCGCGGTTGCCGCGCGCCTCCCGCCCTCCCGCCAGCCTCGCTGCGCTGCGCCCGGCGGCGCCGGTCCTCGTCTCGCGTGTTCGCGCCCCCGACACGGCACACACCCCCCCCCCAGCCTCCCGCCGCTCCCACCCGTCCGTGCCCCCGCAGCCCGGGGCTGGCTTCCCAGCATCGCCGACGCGCATCTGGACAGGGAGTTTCTCTTTTCCTTGCTGGAGTTGATAAAGGGAAAGAAAAGGAAGCCTGGGTACGTGGGATGGACCCGGAGGGAAGTTGAGTTTCTGAAAGCAGAATCAGTGGGTCCCTCCGGCCCCGGCCCCGCTGGTCCTGTCCCCAGGGCTGAGCTGGCCTTGCTCTGAGACTGTCCCCAGGGCTGAGCTGGCCTTGCTCTGAGACTGTCCCCAGGGCTGAGCTGGCCTTGCAGGGCTGAGCTGGCCTTGCTCTGAGACTGTCCCCAGGGCTGAGCTGGCCTTGCTCTGAGACTCCCCAGGGCTGAGCTGGCCAAGTCCTGAGACTGTCCCCAGGGCTGAGCTGGCCTTGCTCTGAGACTGTCCCCAGGGCTGAGCTAGCCAAGCCCTGAGACTGTCCCCAGGGCTGAGCTGGCCATGCCCTGAGACTGTCCTCATCCACGCCTTGCTGGCTGAAGGTCAAGGCCAGCAGCCCGCCGCAGTCATTAAGACAGTCCGAAGGTACTCGGGACACCATTTCTTTTACAGCCAGAGCTGAAGCAAGCTTTCAACAACGCTCCCAAGTGGTAATTAAACTTTCTGGCCACTAGGATTCCTTAACACCCAAAATCTGTTCGGTCTTCTGGCAACTAGTTAAAAAAAAAAAAAAGTTTTCTAGAAAGGAGCTGGTCCTTTTCCTGTTCTAAATTCACAGAGTCGGGGAGGGAATCCAGCCAGACGACCGGCATGCTACGGACTCCTGTGATCTCTAGTAGTTTTCGCAGGTGATTGCCTGGCTCGAAGTCTGAATTTTCACTTGGATTACGAACAGCCAATTCTTGACTGTTTGGGGCATGAAAGTCCAGTTCGTGGCACTCAGCTGCTGTCGTTTCTTTACCAAGGAGAGTATACTATTGGATAGAGTGAAACAGGACAGGTCTTTTCGCCATATTATTGAGAACGGTTGCTATACATGTAAGTGCTATTTGGGTATTTCTCAATGAATTTCAGGTTGCGATACTGCGGTAGTTTTGACGTTCCGAGAATATCAGAGGGGAAAAGTCTAAAGAGGACCATGTGAATTGCTATGTATTAATTGGTTCTCCACCTTTTTTTTTTATTCTGGCTGTCTTTTAAGAATATGAAACAATGAATATTCTTCCTAGAAAATGGGCATATGTATAGCACTTATTAGCCTATGGGTTAATTCACAGGGTTCAACAGATACTGCTTAAAGACACAGAATAAAAGCACTTAGATAAACATATGAAAGTAGAGTAAATGTACTCATAACTTCAAAACTGCTTTTGAGATGGGGAATGTTGGTGGCTTTCTTGAATTTGGTTAAGTTAGAATGTTAGTTCCTATAATAAATAATGGAGAACCTCAGAAAACACTTTGTATACTTCGTATATAACTATTAGTTATATTAACTATATATATATATATATATAATATGTATATATATAAACTGCCATAGAGCAGGGCCAGAAACTTGCTTTTATGGATGTGATTCTATTATACAGGCCTTTTTTCACCTGGTACTTATCTATACTACTATATGAAAAAGGGCCTATATCCATAGTGTTCATAACAGAACTGAGTCCTTCTAGACATCATTTGTGTCTTTGGCTTCAATGACATAATACTTCCGTGGTTTCTGCTCTTGTGCACACTTGTTTTCTATGTTTCAGCAACTTTTATTATCTTCACCCACATAGCTCACTTACCTAGGGGCACTACTTTTTGCTGTCTTAGAGGAATTCACTGCCATAGTCATGAATCTTTCACCCCTCATCCTTCTTTCACTGTTAAATACTTTACCAAAGGGTTTTGCAGTTTTTATTCAGGAATATTAGTATGATCCTTAGCTTCTATCTTTTCTTATCTGAGCCATGTTGGAGTTTGAAGGTTTTTTTTTTTAATTTTTAAAGTTATCTTTAAGTAGTTGTACAAATGAGTTGTTATTCAAAAATGCAGTTGAAGTTTGAAGCATTTTATCTCCAGCATGTCTTTTACATCTCTCCAAATAACTGAAAGCAGCCCATCTTTTCTTAATTGGATAATGAATATGAAGTCAAAAATGAATGTGGAATTAGTTTTCTTTTGAAGTTCTTGTGTCTGTTTTTGGTAAGAATAGATGAATTTGAGGAAGGTGAGCTAAAAGTGAGTTTGGGACTAAGTTAGAACCAAAAGTCACCAAAAACGTGTTCAGTCTTCATGAATCACAAATTGAATTTGCTGGGAATTTTAACTTAGATGTAAAGCTTCCTGGGGAATAAAAATCCATGGTTAAGAGCAAACTTAGGATCAACCCAGTATAGAAAATATAAATTCTGAAGTTAACATGAACCAGACAGTAAATTATACAAAGACATGTCAGTCATGTAAAAACAAGATACTGAACAAGCCAGAAAGTTTTGAATTCAAGAAAGTATATGCATACTTTGATTTCATCAGAATTCTAAGTTGTAGTCATAAAATTTCAAGACAAAACTCATTGATTTCCCCAATTTACTTCATACACATTTATAGTCAGAATTTAATTTTTTGTTCTATGAAAGTGTAGCAATTTAATTCCACAGTGTAATTAAACTGTCAGGCCCATCAGACTGTCTTTTTCTTCCATGTCACTGCCAGATACATTTGTTGTACTTACATAGTTAAAAAACTTGAACCTAAGTTTTTAAATAAATCATTATTTTTTGAAAAAAGGATTTTGTCCTAGTGTTTCAGAATGTATGAAACATGTAAATCAATGGAGGAGATAGATTTCAAAGTTGTTTTTTTTTTTTCCCTCTAGATTTTAACATGGCAGGAAGACATCAGAATCGTATTTCTCTCCCAGCAGTTCAGTCAAGTGCTCAAGTACATGCTTTTGGAAATTGCATAGACAGTGATATGCTAGACGAGGATGCTGAAGTGTATGAGCTTCGATCCAGAGGAAAAGAGAAAGTTCGAAGAAGTACATCAAGAGATAGACTTGATGACATTATTGTGTTAACAAAAGATATACAGGAAGGAGACACTTTAAATGCCATAGCCCTTCAGTACTGTTGCACAGTAAGTGGTTATTTTTCCATGTATATTTCTACAAAGGGGTTTCATGTGATAATTTAGGCATACATATAATATACTTTGATTAATTCACCATCTCAGAAGGTAAGTTTTAATTTTACATAAGGTAATGCATAATAAATTATTTATTAACCAAACCCAAATTGAAATAAATCTTTTCTTCACTTTTTTTCCTCTGCATAGATATATGTCACATTGATGGATATTAGGTTTTTACTTTTTTAAATGACTTTTTACTGATTTATTTCTAAATCTATTATTTTATCACTTTAATGTATTTATTCCTGTACATTTATTTGGTAGCTTTTGTCTTTTTAAAATTGGCATATACTACTTATATTACTCTTAGAACTTCCATAGTTTATCATCCTTCATAACCTTTTAGGTATAGCTCATTACTTCAAATAGCTGTATAATGTTCATATTATGGATATAACAATATTATTAAGCCATTTCTATACTCATGAGTAGTCAAGGTTTTCTTGGTGTTTTATGTTGTTCAGTGACCAACAAGAGTATATTTTAGATGGTGCTACCTTATCATTGTAGGAAGATTCTGGCAAACAGGATTGCTAAATAAAGTGGAAAGAATGTTTTGATTTCAGTAGATCCTAAAGTCTGTTTGACCTATTTTATATGTGTTCATCTTTGGTCCTCAGAATATGTAAACACATTGCTATGATAAGTAGTTAGGAGTCTCATTTTTAAACATTGTTCTAATATTACAATCCAATAAAATCTGGGGCTTATCTTCTATATTTACCTCCTTTTTATTTTTAACCACCTTGTTCTGGAGTTTGAAATCAAGCCCTCACACTTACATAGGAATGTACCACTTGAGCCACCAGCTTTACTTATTTTCCAGTTAGGTTTCAAGATTTTGCCCGGGGTCATCTTCAGACCATGATTCTTTATATTTTTGCCTGCTGTGTAGCAGAAACTGTACATACCTGTGTTATGAGATGAAGTCTTGCTAACTTTTTGCCTGAGCTAGCCACTTGAACTGTGATCCTCCCTATCTCTTCCTACTGTGTGAGCCACCAGAGCTGGTCTAAATAGGATGTTCGGAAATTACACATACAACCACCTGTTGTTCATTTTTTAAATGAACTTCTTAAATTCTTCTAATGACTTATAATAGTTACAAAGGAGATATTTCCTAGAATATTGTCAATATTGACATTTTAAAAATAAGACTATTAGAATGTTCTTTTAAGTATAAATTCTAAATACCATCAGGATTTTCTACCTGAACTCTCTATAATGCACATATATATATATATACATATATATATATATATATATAGTGAAATCAGTATTCACCTTTTAATATTTTTATCCCCAGAATTTTTTATAATGTAAAATGCTTTTATACCTGACAAATGGTTTACTGCTTGTCATATTACTCTGCAATAGGAACACATACGTTTATAAATGTCTGCATGTGTATGTTTGTATAACTTGTCAAAACAAATGTATTGCAAACTTTGATTTGAAAATTTAATGAACTAAAGATATTTTAATGTTTCAATATTTGAAATGCATTTTTTGATGATGAAGGGCTAGTACTTGTTTTTCTTCCCTAACTTGTTCATATATGGTAACACTATTCTTGTCATTAAATCAGAAAATATCTGATTTCATTTTTTACGGCAAATATACCTGTAAGTAAGTGTTTCGTAGAGAAGTAAGTGTCTGAATGTATCTTAGAAGGTTAGAAAGCCAACATTAAAATTGATGTAGATCTGAGAGAAAAGTGGTGCAGTAGCTTTATTGGAGAATGACTTTAGTTTTCCTTAAATGAGCCTGGAAAGTTGGGTGCTGGTGGCTCAGGCCATCAGTTCTGTAATCAGGACACTGAGATCAGAGGAACAGGAGTGGTTCAAAGCCAGCCTGAGCAGAAAAATCCATCAGTCTCTTACCTTCAGTTAACCATCAAAAAAAAACAACCAAACAAAAAAGCCAGAAGAGGAGCTGTGGCGGTGGTAGAGTGCTAGCCTTGAACACAAAAGCCCACTAATAGTGCCCCAGGCCCTAACTTTAAGCCCAAAGATCAAAACAAAAAAAGAGAGAAAAGGAAAAAAGAACCAGAAAATTCCTCTTAGGAAAATTTGAAATGCCACTCAAGAATTGAATATAGATTGTGTTTCCAATGAGGCAAAATAAGAGTGTTTTGGCATTTGACAGTGGTGTGTAGATTTTGAGGAGAGAGAATGAATAATAGGTGTTTCATTAGGTATTTCAGTAATGAGTAGAGAGATTATTGGAATAATTCAAATAAAGATAATCAAGATTTGGAGTAAAATAACTGGTAAGAATGGGGAAGATAGCAATAGAAAGTGTATGTTGTGAAAAAAAATCACAGGATGTATTAATGTGATTTATTATTTGAAAGGAAGAATGTTTAGCCATATGGTACATACATGTAATCCCAGCTACTCAGGAGGTGCGTACTGGAGGATCTCAATCAAGTATTAGGCTAGTCCATGCAAAAGAGTAGATTGCATTTCAAAAACAAAACAAAAACAAAAGGGCTGAGTGCAGCTCAAGTGTTAAACTGCTTGCTAGTCGCAGTTCAGAGTACTGGATGAATACAATAAAAGGAAGAAAGATGAAAGCTGGTTAATTTAACATTAGAGGATAGATGGCATTTGGGAAAGTTGATTGCAGTGAATTAGAAAATTAAGATAAATAATGCTACTTATGGGAGCTTCACTATCAAAGAAATACTAAGCTTATCAAAGGATTTTTAATTTTAAGATTACAGTAAGTAGTGTTATCTTTCATGATTGTCTTAAGAATTATTTATTTAAAACAGACCATTTATAAAGCAGTAATGAGAGGAATACATAATTCAGGATTGAAATCCTAAATGTAATCAAGGTGGGCTTGCATAACAAAACATTACATATATTCAGATGAACCTAGATAGATGCTAGAGTCTTAAGCAGTTACTAGAGTTTAATAACAAGTAAAAGAGCATTTTACTGGTGTTTTATTAATGAATCTTCATTTACTTTAAAACAATGCAGTCCCTAACATGACAGAGCACCCTCTTTACTGTCTCACCCACTTATTCTTCTGCTTTCTTCCCCTACTGCTCTGTACGTCTTCCAACGTGACTCTGCATCCTCGCAGCACTGAGTATACTGTCCTCTATTCCTTCCTAAAAATGGTCTGATGCTGCAGGTTTTTTATTTTTCTACTAATATTTAGTAACAGCTGACATATACGTCACTGCTTCTAATGTTCTTCATAACATTTACATCAATATTTACATCAACCCTATAAAGTAGTAGTATTACTGACATACTTCCCTCCCACCTCCCTGCAAGAATCATGCTTTAAACCCAGATATCCATGCTTTTAATCACCAAAGGATACTGCCTTCCTGTCCACTTCTTTTTTTACTCTCCTCTGTGTATTTCTCTTACTCAACATAACTCTCAGATTTTAGCATTTCTTAGGGATCTTTCCATGCACTTTTTTCTCCCATCCTTTTTTCTAGAGAATCCATCCAATTGTGAGAGCATTCTGAGTTTCAGATGTATCTATTTTACTGTTTACTGAACATCTTTTACTTGTATGTCTCAAGCACCTCAAAGCCAATGTAATTGTATCCTTTCTTAGTCTCTAGTGTTCTGTAATGTAGTTAGCAGCATCTCATTCAGGGATTTGACCAAACTAGAAATCTTAAATTCCATTCTAGACTCACTTTACCTCTCAGCTGTCATTTGGGTGATACATGATTCAAGCATAGCTTGATTAAAGCATTAATTGGAATGACAGATGGGGCCAATAACTTAAAGGCAGTGAGATAGTACAGTATACCAATTGCTAATCTCTTCCTCATCACAAAATAATCAGTGGAGGATTGTAAAATACATATAGGGAAAGCAGATGGCTGGTCTTGGAGGTAGTTGGATAAAGCTTTTACACAGAGGGGTTTAGGAAAAAAGCAGTTTTGAAGATGAGTGAGAAGAGGAAAGTTGGTATATTTTATTCCAAGATATATGTTTTCACACACCTTTTAACATCTTTGAAAATACAATGATGACATTTTCATTGATCTTGGTATCATATTTTCCCTTTAGACATAGGTAAAATAATAGTTCATCTTAGAGTTGATGGCATCTTAGTTTTGACATAATACATACTTTTCATTGGGTAAGTGAACATTTGTCTATTCTCCAATTGCCAAATTGGAATAAATATAAATATCTGTAATTCTTCACATCAGAACTATGGTATTTATGCATGGTGAACATAGATAAACAGAAAAATATACTAGAATATACTTCAGTAGTTTTTAAGTAGTTGATTTCCTGAGATTGGTAGGGCAAAAGTATTTTAAAATTCTTATCTACAAGGAAAATTAAAATCTCTGAATATGGTAACTTAACATTGCCAAGAATTAAGCTTGTTTGATATCCCCTACCCAGTTCAGTTTCTCCCTGTCCCCAGTCTCTTCTTAAAAAGTTAAGTAGATGAATGACAGTTGTTGCCTCCTGTTTGCCTTACAATTCAGTTGATTGCTGTTTTTCCTTTTTTTACAGGTAGCAGATATAAAGAGAGTAAACAATCTCATCAGTGATCAAGATTTCTTTGCCCTTAGGTCTATCAAAATTCCAGTTAAGAAGTTTAGTTCATTGACTGAAACATTGTATACTCCAAAAGGAAGACCGGCTTCCCGTCCTTATGTTCAATATGCTCCTGAACCACAGGAAATTTTGCCAGCTGATTCTCTCTCTTCCAGTGACTCAGCTGGCAGCTTTTTAAAAGAAGTAGACCGAGACATAGAACAAATAGTGAAGTGTACAGACACCAAGAAAGAGAACCTTAATGAGGTAGTATCTGCTTTGACAGCACAACAAGTCCGTTTTGAACGCGATAACAAAACCACACAACGCAAGGATCCCTACTATGGAGCGGATTGGGGAATAGGTTGGTGGACAGCTGTAGTGATAATGTTGATAGTTGGTATTATAACACCAGTATTTTACTTGCTGTACTATGAAATTTTAGCTAAAGTAGATGTTAGTCATCATTCAACGGTGGACTCTTCTTCACATTTGCATTCTGCAGTCACACCTCCATCACAGGATAGGGAAATGGAAAATGTAATTGTTCCAACCAAAAGAGTACATATTGACCAACAAGACGACCATAAACTGTATAGCCAAGATTCTCAGTTGCCTGTTGCTCAACACAAAACATAGCACTTAGCTCACAATCACTGTGTTAATGATCACATACATCTGGAATGTGTTGAATTAGTTATACCCAGTAACCACTTAAGATGCAGAATTTGGGGAGATTGAGGTGCTTTTCTTACCTTCCTAAAACTTTTGAGCCATTTAAAAGGACTGTGTTATCAAATCGCTACAGTTGAAATTGCTTTTAGTGAGCAGGCAGTCCATCTGTTAATAAGAACTTAAAATATGAATTTAAATGTGTTTAGGAAATTCTTGGAATATTGTATCAGTTTCATTACTCAAGACTACTTATGTTTAAATTTTATCTTTTAAGTCATTATTTTGGATTAAGTTTGTGTTAAATTTGTGAAATATAATGATAGTCTCTGATGTCTGCAGCTAAAGAAAATTATCTACTGTGACCCACCAAAAAATTTAGTTGCCAAAACTATGATTCTAAAATTATTTGATAGCAAGTAAAAACTCATATTTGAAATTTTAAAAACATACTTCTGTAGCATATGTACTATGAAATCATAAATAGAAACAAATGGAAACATAATGTGTAATTTATGTAACAAGAAACTAGGACATTGATTAAATATTTTGAAGGCCCCAAAATACTGTGCTGTGGTTGGCAGTTGCCATTTGGAGATAAGAACACTGGAATAGGTAAGATCTAAAAATTTTTTGTCTCTTAAAAAATGCTTTAAGACAGACTTTTTAACCTCATCTGTTTCTGTTTTAAAATGATACTTGTCTCTGGTATTTCAAAGTACTTTGTTAGTTCCTTGGTGAAAAGTGACATACATACACAGATTAGCATTCTTACATACTGTGATAATGCCTTAATTATATTTAATGCCTTATATTAGTTTATGTAAGTTTATAACCACTTTAAAATGAAAAATAAGAGTATAGATGGTCCAACCAGATTCATAGGCGGTCATTACATAAAGCTGTGTAAATTTATCTCTACTTTCTCTTGAAAGCACAAGTTAATGGGGTTTCTGCCTCTGGTGTCTGGCAGGAAATATTAACATTTTTTCCCCTAATAGTATAAAACTGACGAATAGACACGAGAGGTGTAAAGATAGAATGAATGCTTCGTAGTTCTGTGGATCAGCCACAGTCTGGTTAAATAAGAATTTGTATACCGGTTCCCTCTTTTTTTAATGTGTGTTTTTAAAATATAGCTAAAGTGATTCAAAATGAGATTTGATGAGTCTGGATTGCCTGTTTTTGTATAATAAAGTATACCTTAAGATATATAATGCCATCTCATTTTCTGGGCATTATATCCTAACATTTAATGTTTCTCCCTTTTGATCAGTCCTTTTATATCTCAACTGCCAATTTTTATACAGTTATGTGCATAAATATTTATGGTAATTAGGGTTTTATATACTTTCAAGAGGAAAGCCCGGGAAAGGAACAGGAGAAAGAAATTACTTTTAATATCTGGTATGTATCAGAAAATTTCAGAAAATTACCAAAAAAGTGTTTAGTAAGGAATTTTAATGAGTCAATCCTTTCAGTAAAGCTTTTAGTTAAAATAATTTGTTTTAATGTGCCTTGGGTATCTTCGAATGTGGAGGGTTATCTTTATGCTCAATGTTAACTTTGCCAGTTTACGTTCTATTTATTAAGCCTGTTGAAAAATTAAGTCTTAAGGTACAAAGACAAGATTATTTTGGGGTGGATCAGGCTAGCTGTCATTTGAAGAACTTCCTTTACAACAAATTGATTAGAGTGTGATTCCTTTTGGCTCATTTTACTTTGTCACAACTGTGTGGTTACTTCTTTTTAAAATCAGAGGGTGTTCATCTGTCTTACAGAGTGTCCTTTTTGAAGGAAATGTAGCATTTATACTTTATGAAACAGTTTTTCTCTTTTAATTAAATATTTTGATCAGTTGAATATAATCCAAAATATTCTATAGGCAGAACTGTAGTTGAATCTTTTTTAAAAAGGAAATTAAGCATTTAGCTGATTTAGAATTTTAGTTTTCAAAACATATTTCTGAATACACATTAAATTTGTAACAAATGCAAATTATATTGTATAACCCAAGTAATTTTTAAGCACACTTTAATTGTGTTGAAATCCTCATTTGAATTGACTTGGAAGCTATACATTAGTTTATACATGTGTATTTTTTTCCTAAATGTAATTTATAAAACTTAATCACTACATTTGGTTCATGTAAACATTTAAAGTTGCAAGTGAAGAAGAAATTGGTATTTTGGGACCAAGTTCTTTTTTTGTTGTTGTTAATTTTAAGTCTGAGTAGATGTGACTAAGGTTGTTTTGAATTATTGAATGGCCATTAAAATTTTTGCTCTCTTCTAGGAAAAAGAAATACGTCCTGCTGGCCATAAGAATTAGAAAGAAGGCTGTAATGTCATCTGGAAATAATCTCCAGATGACTTGATTTTTAAAGTCATTCTTTTGGGGGGGCTCTACCTGATTTTTTAATGTCATAAAAACTTCTTTAAATGAACCACTATTTAGTGGTTCTTTTAAAAAGATTACTTTTAAGATGACCTAGTTGGAAATATGAAGGATATAGTAATATCATGAAGCAAAGATCCAGTATAGATAAAAGTGTTACAGGGTAAAGGTGTAATTTTTAAAGTCTATATTTAACTGGTGCATTATGGGAGTCATTCTCACTTTGAATTACAGCAATTTTGCTCAGGAAATCAGTATTTTTCTTCTAAGTATGTGCATATTGCACTGATAGATCACAGAAATAAATGAATGCCTTATTTAAATAATTTTATGTATGCAAAAGCTATAAACCATTTCTATAATGTATTTTATATCGTAAAATGTAAGAGAACATTATGGTAGCATATACAACTGTAAAAAATAGTTTTAAAACTTTTTGCCCCCTTTGTTTTTCATATTTTAAAAGATATGCAAAACGTAATAAAGGTTTCTATTTTATTATTTAATCTGGAATGCAGCCTGGTGAATTTGATTGAATAAGGCAAACCTCTTCTGCTATACTTTCAGACTGTTCTAAATACAGAGATACTGGGTAAAATACATCCAATTACCAAGGTTTACAAATTCAATTTCCTACTTGTTACATTGAGACAAAATTCAGTCCATTATAGGATTTTAGATGGTCTTTGGAGCCTCTTCCACAGGAAAGACTTAATGAAGTATGTTTTCCAAGTTACTTATTAAAGCTCTGGATCTGTCATATGAAATACTCTATCTGTGCATTTTATTGTAACAAAAAGTTCTTCAAGAATATTATTATTTTACAATTTACATACAAGCAGAAAGAAGTAAGAAAATTACTTAAGAACTTTTATTTAACAGGAAATCATATTAATTATTCCATGTAGCTTATCTTTTTCCATATTTAAAAGCATGTTGATCTTAAGGTTGTGTTTACAGCCTTTTTAAGTAAATTTTTACCACAGAAACAAATAACCTTACGAAAACAAAGCCATTGACATTGTCCACTTGAAGGGAAATATCAACAAGAAACCTCCAAATGTTTTAGTATTTTCTGATAACTTTAATCCAAGAAACCAATTATCAGGTTTATTATCTATTCTCTATTATCTGTTACCTTAGTTTGTTACTCTTAATTGGTTTTCCTAATCATATACTCAGTTTTCTTTTGTCCGTGATAGTGATTTAAGAAAATATTTGTACAGGTATCCTTGCTTATAAATAGTTACTTTAACTAGTTTTTCTACCAAATGAAAATTAAAAGGCAGGCACAGGTGACTCATGCCTATAATCCTAGCTACTCAGAAGGCTGAGAAAAGTCTGATTAACCAGAAGAAGCTGGAAGCAGACATATTACTCAAGAGGTAGAGTGCTAACCTGGAGCAAAAAACAATCATGTTCAGCATAAAAGTATCAATAGTAAATAGACATTTATTTTGTAAGAATTTAATGTGTAAACAAATACAGAATAATAATATAACATTCAGTTTTGGTTGTTACAAAGACATTTCAAAGAATCCTTTTAAACGATAGTAGGAAGCTATTTCTGCAAAGTGATGTTTGCCTCCCTATTGAGTAACTTCACAGTTTCAGATCTTAAGCCCTCAAACCAAGATAATGTAGTAATCTGGAAATCCTCACAATGAGTAGGTTTTAAAATTGTAATATCTTTCAAGGGGGAAAAGAAATGTGCTTGCTTAAGAAGAAATGGTAGAGCTGGGTGCCTGTGGCTCCTAGCTTCTTGGAAGGCTAAGATCTGATTGTGGTTTAAAGCCAGCCCAGGCAGACTCTTAACCTCTAACTAACCATCAGAAAGCTAGAAATTGAGCTTTGTCTCAAAGTGGTAGAGCACTAGCCTTGAACACAAAAGCTCAGGGACAGCATCTAGGCTCTGATTAAAAGCCACAGGACTGACATCCACACCCCACTCCCACACTCAGATGATTGAGGCCTCCCAGAGTAAATGGCTACCCTACACCCTACAGGACTACACCAGTCCAGTGAAGACTGCAAACTAGAGAAAAAACTTTACTGTATTTGCTTCATTCAAAGGTTACCAATATCAAGATTTATTGTACTTAACAAACTGACATAATGAAACCCCTTTGTACAACTACTTACAGATACAGTTCTTGTTAGGAATAAAACACAAACCAAAGGTTACCTATAGATCTGTAATAAAGCAAACGAACAAAATCATAAAAGGTAAGATTTCTTTTGACTAAATGGTATTTGGCTCTTGTTCCAAAGGAGGTAAAGAGAATGAGATACCTATGTTAAATATTTCCAAATGACAACTTTGCCATTATTATGGGAAACTCTTCGTGAGGTCTCTAACATATTACAACTTTAATAAGACTTAATCAGATTTCTGTGTAGAACCTTAATTTTTGTATAAGTTCCTTCAAGCAAAAAGTCATATGCGTGATCAGTACACCACTAAACAAGATGGGATCTTAAAACCACCTTGAATTATTTGAGGAAGTATATTGCATTCAAAGTGATTTTTTTCCTGAGCATTATAAAACTGTACGAGACAATACAAATTGTCTCCACAAATACAAAATGGGAAAAATCCATAAACATACTTTATGAGGAAAACATTTGTTTCTCAACATTGTTACCTTTTAAGAGTGTGTGTGTCTGTGTGTAATCTGGTTAGTATTTAAACAATTTTTATAGGGAATTGTTTACAAATGGAGAAACTAAGGCACAGAAACAACCAAGCACAGTTTCAAGGTTGAATTTAGTATTATAGGTAGAAAGATAATGAAGGGTTCCAATTCTCTTCTCAGGTTAGAAAGTAATGGCTGATAAACCTTCCAGTAGTAAAAGTAAATTTAACTTTCTTTTGGTAATACTAGCAAATCATTTTTGAAGTATATAACAAAAACTTCCTTGACTATATGAAGTTCCTTGAAAATCTTTGGCATTTTAAAGTCTTTGGAGGCTAAGGTGTCTGACATTTTGCCCCCCAAAATATAAAATAGCAGAGAAACTAGCTGGTAACTTAAAAAAGATCAGTCTTCATTTTGAAATGACCTGAGCTCATTCTGCATTGTTATATCAACAATGAATCCTGTGAAACATAATATGGGCCTCTTCACCAAGTTCACATGCAAACATTCTCCTGTGAAGTTCATACTTTACAATCTTATTTTCCAACCAGTACTTTCCTGTCCACACACATAAAGAACAGAATTAAATAGGATATAGTCTAACCTTTTATAAGCCCAATGATTTGCAGATGTCAAAGTTACTACAGTGAGACCATTAATACATATATTTATTGTAGGACCCAAAGTTCTTCCCAAAGTCAAGTGTGTCTAAAATGCACCCCATGTGAAAACCTCTGTGCTCACTGAGATGGTAACTGGGAAATCGTTTATCTCAAGTTGATATGTTTCCATGAATTTGTTTGCTATCACAAAACCTCTCATTTCCTAGGTGTGTAGGAAGAGCTCGGTGGGTTTATGTAGTATGACTCACTGTACTAATATAGAACATACCATGTAAAAGTAAAAAATAATTTTCAAGTTTCTATGTTTTTAAAGTGCTCTGTGTGCTGAATTAGTAGAAATCCATTCTGAGTAGTAACTTTACAAAAAGATCAGCAGTTAATGGCTTCGTTCAAATATGAACACAGATAAAGAGATGTTAAAACTAAGAATGCATTAGCATACATAAAGATGGCAGAGGTGTTCAGGAGGAATGTCAGGATGCCAGACAATAAGGTATCTTGAGCATAAACAGTGATTCTACATGTTTTGATATTTGTCAGTTAAAACAGGAACACAAATAAGATATATAACTCATTCCTTATCAGAGATAAACCACAAATCAAGTTTCAAAGGCTTTTGAGATGTTTCTTGACTAATAGGTTGCTTCATCCATGTTGTCATCACTGTCTGCACCAAAATCATCTCCATTATCAAAGTAGGAGTTAATGTAGTCATTTTCCTAAGTGATAAGATACATTTCTTAGTAAATAATGAGAAAAATTACTACTAGAAAACACATTGTAGATTGCCCCATAATGTAGAAAAGCCAAATTTTACTCTCGAGAATGCTTATCAAATCCTCAATTCAATGGGAAATTATCACAAAATTTCAACTAATTACTAAATCTAAAGACTAAATCTAGAAAGGCTTTACTTTAATGGAACTCCATTTCTATTCCTCGCTCCTCCTCAAACTCAAAACATACCTCATTTCTCTAATAGGCTAGAGAGGATTTTTATTTTTAAATCAAGTGTAGTTTATATATAAACCCACTGATTTAAACCCACTGTCTTGAACGTTACTTTGCTCGAGTTCCTCACCTACTAGAATTCCCAGTTTATAGTGCTTTTGTGATAGAAAATCTTAATTTCAACAAAGATATGTCCAGACTCAAGTAGAGTTGAATATTCTGTCAATAGAATATTCCTAAAACAAGTTTATCCTAGAATACCTAGAACCTAGCAGCATCAGCCCATCAGTGTAATCAATGGGAGTCTTAATTGTTGATAAAGGAAGAATCTTAAAAAGGAAAGTAAATCATTGAACAAATTATTAGCTGGCAAGTCATTTAGAAACAGATAAAAATGGATCCACAACCCTCTCTTTTTTTTTTTTTTCCCATGGTGGGGCCTGAACTCAGCCTGGGCGCTGTCCCTCAGCTCTGCTCAAGGCTAGTGCTCTACCACTTAAGCCACAGAGCCACTTCCGACTTTTTCTGCTTATGTGGTGCTGAGGAATCGAACCCAAGGCCTCAGGCATGCAAGGCAAGCACTCTACCGCTAAGCCACCTTCCCAGCCCCCAAACCCCTCTTTAAATCCACATCAATTTCAACAAAAGAATACAAAACAATATATAAGAAAGAGTCACAGGAGGAGTGATTTGAAGTGAAGAAATGGTTCAGTCTGGTAAAAAACTGACATAGAATGAAGGTAAAGATGATCAGAATGGACAGGAAACTCTTGGGAAGTGCTTAAAAGTCCCAAAGAGACCAACCTAAGTTACCTTGCTCAAAAATACCTGCAGTGACTACAGCTTAGAAATACACCCAAAACATGGAATCCAGCCCATCAGACACCTGAGGATCGATTACCAGTGTAGTCTTACAGAAATTCCAACATACTTTGGAATTTGAAACGCGTTGTCACTGCAGAGATTTTATTCCAGACCTATGAATTAGCCCTCTGTCAACTATTGACATGCAATTTTATGTTAATAAAGCTTAATTGCATTAATCTGATCAATTTCCATCATTCCTGGACTCTCACAAAGATTTCTTTCAAGTTACTTTGTCTCCTATATTATTTCAATGTTGTCTCACTATGGAGTTGATGCTATCCTAAACTCAAAATCTGCAGCCATCTTCCAAATGCTAGGATTATAGACATGCTACGACCTCAGGAATGGTTTTTGTTTGCTGATTTTAGTTATAAACCATATTTGATTCCTTATTAGGTAATTCCTAAAGTTAGCAACTTTACCTCCTCTTGCTCTTCTTCATCATACTCCTCCTGATCTGCAGCATCATCGTCGTCATCATCACCTTCTTTACTTTTCTCTTTGCTTCCTTCTTTCTCTTCATTTTCCTCATCTGATTTCTCACCATCACCTCTCTTCTCCAATTCCTGGTACAAACGAGTTTCATTAATTGATGTGGAAACTTCTAGCCTTAGCTTCCCTGTCCCACTTGAAGAGTAAGTACACTGTTACAGATCACCTTCTTCTAATCTCCCCTCCCCTCCACCTCCAGACACTACAACTAGTTAAAGAAAGGGAGAGGGCTCCCTGTCCTGTCAGTACACTAGGATGTCCAATTCTGCTGCTTAAACATTAGGTCTCAGGTAACACTGGAGATATTGGCTCTAATACCTAATGCCTTATTTTTATGACTCATAGCCTAGGACCTAAAATATTTGGCATGATAGAGAGGAAACTTCAGACTGTTGTTTGGTTTTCCTTGTAGCATTAAAAAAAAGAATATAATGTCTTAAAATATCTACGGTTTAGTTTGTAAGTGAGATTGTTGAAAACTACTATCAAATAACTCTGGGATAAAACTATCGAGTGGCAGATGATCTGCCATCCCTTACTGCTTTACTTTCCAGTCCTAGAAGTCTTTGCCTCCTAAGTATAAAAACTTATTTTTCTTTCTTTCCTTCCTTCCACAAGCCATGCTTCCAGTCTTACTTTTGGCTGGTTATGCTGGAGAGGTTAAGAAAAAAAGACTAAGGAAAAAATCTCCAGGAATTTTCTGCTTGGGCTGGCTTTGAGCTGCAGTACTCCAGCTCTCAGATGCTGGGATAGCTAATATTTTACCAGTATGAGTGACTAGCACCTGGCTGTTTTTTTTCTGTTTTAATAAAATCGTAAATAAAAAGGCCTGAAACCTGTTTGTACACTTAAAATGGAATCATAGTACTCCGTTTATTTAACTTTGTGCAAAGTACACTCTGCATCTGAAAAAAAGTCATGCTATTTTAATTATTCCATAAATAGCAACAAAATTATTCAAATAGGTTTTGTCAAATATATAAATTTTATAAATATCTAGACATCGATCTGTGTGTGTATGAGAGAGAGAGAGTGGGGGGGGAGTCTTAGTAGAGTTTCAATTCAGTGCCTTGTACTTGATGGGCACACACTCAAGTTTTAGAGTGTGTTTTGAGCTACACCTCAACCCTTTTTGCTTTTAGTTATTTTTCAAAGAGGGTCGTAATTATGCATGGGCCATCCTAGACAATGATGCTGTTAGTTATGACAGGTGTGCACCCAGATTTTTACTGCTTTTATTTATTTTTATATTTTACATTTTATTGCTTTTTATTTGCTCTAAAAAACTTTTTGCCTAGGCTCACCTTGAACTGCAAGCATCTGGGTCTTAGCCACCAGAGTAGCTAGGATTATAGGTATGCCTATATAGGTGTGCATGCCTATAGTAAAAATATTTTTTAAATACAGAATTTATCAATGTGACCACAGAAAGTAAGAAAGAAGTCCCTATTTTTCTACTACTCATACTTCAAAAGTCACTAAAGGACTTATTTTCATTTCTACCACACAGATCCAAATCAAACCTAGAAATACTTGAAAAGACTGATAAAAACATTTATGATGTAACTTTCTTTATAATCCCTGAACTCACTTTGTTTCAAGATTTCATTCCTTCTGCATTAAGATACGAAGTTTGGGCTATTCTACCTAGTACTACTCTCCATGTTCTCTTCAAGAGAGTTTACTGTCTAAACTGAGTATCCTATAGATTAAAAAAAAAATACAACATGAAAAACTTTGCAAACAGTTCATTTCTAGGTAGGAATTTTTTTTTTTATCTCAAATACTACACAGGCACCATGTAGAGGTTCCCTTGTATGTCATGAAAAAAATAGGAAGTTAGGGGTTGGGAAGATGGTTTAGTGGTAGAGCGCTTGCCTTGCATGCATGAGGCCCTGAGTTTGATTCCTCAGCATCACATAAGCAGAAAAAGCCGTAAGTGGCTCTGTGGTTCAAGTGGTAGAGCACTAGCCTCAAGCTGAAGAGCTGAGGGATAGTGCCCAGGCCCAGAGTTCAGGCCCCACAACTGACAAAAAAAAAAAAAAAAGTTAATATGCTAGCGCCCTGCTATCTAATTATTAATAAAATTTGACTACATGTTGTGACTTCTCTCCATCCATCCATATTTTGTTCTAGTAAAAGCTGAAACTTCTTTTGCTGATGAACACTCACAGTCATATGGAAAATTTGCTCTATGGAATTTCCAAACTCACTGGGATTTCTAGATTGAAAATTTGTAGTTTTAATGATATGAGTCCTGGGAAAGGTGTTAAGTGTGTGCAATAAAAGAACACCATCCATTTTGAGGAGAAGCCCCACCCTGTGGTGCAGATTAGTTTTCTTTGCAGCATGCTACAAACATTTTAGGAAGCATTAAGTGTAGGCCTTCAGTACTATTGATCATTCCACCAGTTAAACCTGGTAGTTTTGAAATACTGCCTTTATGAACCCCCAAGAAATGTTCCAAAAATTAAATAGTAAACCTAGTAGTTTCTACCACCAAATATCTGCCATTTTCGTCCAGTATAACTATTTAAACCTTTGATTTCCTCATCAAAATTTTATGGATCAGAGCACCCACCTTTATGTGTTGTTCCAAACTCTTAAGGATGCATTGTATGGAAAGATCCCATCAATGAGCTTGGCATAAACTTCTCAGTCAGTGTAGCTACTATCATCATCATGGTCATTAATGCACTGACAGTGGAAGGGACACTGGTGTGACTCACATGGGAAAATGTGGCAGTAGCCCATTGCTTCATACATTGTACAAAACTACTGACTCACCAAGTCCACCCTTGTCATGTGAAATGACATACTTTAATAGTGAAATAGTAAAAGAAAAATGTACATCAGTGAAGCATTAATTTAATAAATAATGCTCTTATTCATACTGGACAACCTGAAAGAGAATGAGGCAACTTGATGGAGAAACCAAGTCCAAGATCGTTTATGAAAGGATAAAATGAAAATGCAATAAAGTGTGATACCACCTTTTGTAATTTAAAAGGGAAAATTCTGTATCTGTTATACATACAATATTCTTGAAAAGACATATAAAAGATTAGTAAAGGCTGTCTAAAACACAGAAATAAATGACTAGAAAAGGGACAGCAGGACATCCAACTGAACTTTATGTTGAATTTCTTTTCTTTTCTTTTTTTTTTGTCGGCCATGGGGCCTGAACTCTGGGCCTGAGCACTGTCCCTCAGCTCTTCAGCTCAAGGCTAGCACTCTACCACTTGAGGCACAGTGCCACTTCTGGCTTTTTCTGCTTATGTGGTGCTGAGGAATTGAACCCAGGGCCTCATGCATGTGAGGCAAGCACTCTATCACTAAGCCACCTTCCCAGCCCCAACAGTGAATTTTTAAATAAGTTATTTTTATAGGAATGATTCCCATACACGACAAAATTTTCTATTCATAAGACATAGATCAACAACAAAAAAGCATTTAGAAGTATGTGACCACCAACATGAAGAAAAGTGAGAATTTCTTTCTAAGAACCACATTTTAAATATATATGGTTTTCAAGCTTTGTTCCACCCTGAATACTTGATTATGAGAGGAAAATGGGGATATGGTAGAGCCCTGTGGGATAAGTCAAGGTGCCAAGTCAGTGGCCAAGAATAGGAATGATGCTCCACACCTCCAACTACCAAAGTTCAAATCTTGTGCTAGGCTCTCTTCTGCCAAACCATATGCTTAGAAAGTATGAGAAGGTTGAAGAAAGTCATCAAAAAGAGGTGTGAAAATTTTACATTCTCCAATTCATTTGTATGGTAATAAGAAAACGTTACCTCTATTTTTTTCAACACATCTGCAGCATTAGTGACTGAAGCCCCTTTGCCTGGATCTTTTGCCTTTTTGGATTTCTGGCCCACTGAAATAAAACCACAAGCTAACATATTTTATTCTATAACAGTAAGTGTGATTATATTTCTGTGCCTTTTCATATTCTGTCCAGCACAATGATTGTCATAACAGAAGTATAATTTTCAGAGTGAATTATTATTCTTCCCAAAGAATAAACTAAAGTATCACACCTCATCAATTTCCAATGAACATACGATAATCACTCATAGTCATAGACTTATTAGGTCTTGAAATTTGGTACTAGCAAAAGAAAAAAAATGTAAACATACACATTGGTATTTTTATACACAACATAAAATTCTATTTTACCAGTTCCCCGATTTTACAATGTATTTCTTAATAACCCAGAAAATAACCAATATAATCTTAAAAATTTTTCAAGTATGCAAAAATTGAAAATACGAAAATCATTGTAAGTTTCATAGCATTTCGTATTTCCAGTTAAAAAAGGTCAAATAAAGAAACAACCCCTCCAAATTAATAACAGCAACAAAAACTTTTTTTTTTTTGCTGAAGAGCAAAACAATCAAAATGCTAGGTCTATTTTCAGAAAAAGTATTCAGAACACGGAGCCTAACTTTAGATGGACAGTTCTATAATTAATAGAATTTCAGCAACAACCTCTTCCTACCTGGATCACTATCACGTTAATCAATGTACCTTTTTTACAGTGTTTCCTTGGCAACATCTCTCTTGGGAGCCTTCTCCAATCTACATGTACAATGGAAATATAAAAATTTCAGTTTCCCTTGGGAGTCACAGATATTGTAAACAATGAAGACAACACAAGAACAACACCGCAAAGACAATGGAATTTCTTACTATCTGATTGTACAGTGGTATGTTTTTACCCACAAACAAATTAAGTTTATTAAAATTTTGGAAGGAACAATCAAGTTTGTTGGAAATAATCTTAACGGGTTATTTTTGGGGACATTAGCATAGTAACAACTTTGTTAAATATTGTTTATTTCTTGAATACTTGGAATTTTGTAATCTGTCTGTGGTTGACATATTATTATAACAAATTTTCTTTAAAAGTTAAAGTACATGGCCATAATACTAACACGTGAAGAGCAAGATTAAACAATTCTAATAATTAACTGAAAACTAAAAAGACAAATGGCAGTAGAAAATATACCAACCAAGGATTTTTTTTTCCTGAAAGATTCCTAAATAATTTTTCTATGAAATTTCTTTAAGGAGATGGAAGTAAATTCAGGGTCTTAAACATGAAAGGCAAGAGTTGTACTGCTGAGCTACAATGCAGCCCCACATTCTTTTCACTTCTGAGTAGAGAGATAAGTAGAAAACTGAATCTATATAAAAAATAGATTTAAAAAGATTGTTTCATAAAGAAATCTCAGTGTGTTTGCTCAAAATAGTTAAATTATAAGTTATTTTACATGTACTAATAAATTTTGCTTCAAATATATTTTAGTTTTTATTAGCTACTCATAGATGACCATGAGGAAGAACATAAAGAAAATCATTCCAGAGTTGACTATTAATAATGTAGAATAAGAGAGAGATGAGATTTCTAAGGGGCCCCAACCTTATCAATGACCAACAGCAAAATAATGAAATTCATTTAAATTTCTTTTTAAAAAGTTGGGGGCTTTTTAAAAAGAGGGAGCTGGGAAAGTGGCTCAGTGGTAGTGCTTGCCTTGCATACATGAGGCCCTGGGTTCGATTCCTCAGCATCACATAAGCAGAAAAAGCCAGAAGTGGTGCTGTGGCTCACGTGGTAGAGCGCTAGCCTTAGCTGAAGAGCTGAGGAACAGCGCCCAGGCCCAGACCCCAACAACAAAAAAAGAAAGTTGGGGAGGAGCTGTGCTCCAGTGACTGGTGCCTATAATCATAATCATAGCTACTCAGAAGACTGAGATCAAAGGATCAAGATTCAAAGCAGCCTGGGCAGGGGAAAAAGTCCCTGAGATTCTTAACTCCAATTAAACACCAAATGCTAGATGTGGAGCTGTGGTTCAAGTGGTAGAGCACCAGCTTTGACCATAAAAGTTCAAGGACAGCACCCAGACCCTAAGTACAAACCCTAGGACCAACACACAGACACAGACACAGAGACAGACACAGACACAGACATAGACACAGACATAGACAAAGGTGGGGAGGATAAGAAAGTATAATATAGAAGGTCAAAGTACATTATATGCGTGTATGGAAATATCACAATGAAACTCCATTGTATAATACAAGCTCATAAAAATAACACAAAAACAAAATCTAACAACTATTTAATTAAAGGCCTTAAGATTAAGAAATATAGCAGAACAACTTCATCTGCAAAAATATTTGTGTTGTATATACTGATAAGTAAACATACAGCAGGGCTGGGAAGGTGTCTCAATGGTAGATTGCTTGCCTCACATGCATGGGTTTGATTCCTCAGCACCACATAAACAGAAAAAGCCGGAAGTGGTGCTGTGGCTCAAGTGGTAGAGCGCTAGCCTTGAGCTGAAGAGCTGAGGGACAGTGCGCAGGCCCAGAGTTCAAGCCCCACAAAGTAGTAAACATACAGCAATTTAAAGTTATTAAAGAACTGTTAGTATTAAACCTTCACTAAAATCACATCATGATAAATTTTTTTTTTTTTTTTTTGTCGGTCGTGGGGCTTGAACTCTGGGCCTGGGCGCTGTCCCTCAGCTCTTCAGCTCAAGGAGAGCGCTCTACCACTTGAGCTACAGCGCCACTTCCGGTTTTCTGGTGGTTTATTGGAGATAGGAGTCTCACAGTCTCTCCTGCCCGGGCTGGCTTTGAACCGTGATCCTCTGATCTCAGCCTCCTGAGTAGCTAGGATTACAGGCGTGAGCCACCAGCGCCCGGCTACATCATGATAAATTTTTAAAAATAAACATTAAATAGGCAAGACTTTTCTTGTAAAAAACACAAGAAAGCACATGACATTAATGAATTTAGTTAGGGTAGTTTCTATGAAAGCCAAAGAAGAGAGAAAAAGTAAATTTAAATGAAGACACTCAAGTTCTAGCATTATTGGTAAATGGCCGTGAGATCACTTCATTTCCATGACAACTGCTTTTTGGGGTGTGTGTGTGTGTGTGTGTGTGTGTGTGTGTGTGTGTGTGTTGGTCCTGGTGCTTGAACTCATAGTTTAAGCACTGTCCCTGAGCTTTTTTTGCTCAAGGCTAGTGCTCTACCAAATTGAGTCACAGTGCCACTATGGCTTTCTCTGAGTAGTTCACTGGAGATAGTCTCATAGACTTTCTTGCCCAGGCTGGCTTCCAACCATGATCCTCAGATCTCAGCCTCCTAAATAGCTAGGATTACAGGTATGAGCTACCTGCACCTGGCCAGCAGTTGTTTTTGATCTACAAAGTGATTCAGCTGAATGAGATTTCCTCTACAACCTCCTCCACCTGGACTATACCAAAGATAAAACTTTTGAATGCTGAAAACAAAACTCTCAGAATGGTTCTATTGAAAAGGTATGTTAGAAATTAAAGCTAATCCACAACTCTGTTTAAAAGCAAAAATCTATGAGCTTGGATTAAAATATCCTTAATATTAATAATTTGCTTTCTATTTAAAAGCTCTAAAATAATCGAGGAGTAAACAGGCACGTGTTTGGCTGTATAACAAATTAAAATTGTGATTAAACTTGTGGCTAATGAAACTGAAAAGCCCAAAAGAGTTTGGCAAGACCTTGGTTTATAAGAAGCATTTTAAGAACATCCCATAAAATACCTCAGATCTTCTTTTGTTACATGATAGGAATCTTCCTTTCAGCTTCCAAAAGATTTACATTACTCAATTAATAACTACAGAAAAAGAGCTAAACTCTTGTTTTCCTGTAGTCAAAATAGATAATCTAAGATAGGTAGGGGGCAGGGAGATGGTTATTTAAAAGTATTTAACATTGTTTGTTTTATTCTACCTGGTATCCATTCTTCTTTGTATACCTTCATGTATCTTTTACTATACCTTTCAATATCTAGGGAAAAAGGCATAAAGTAGTCATTAGAAACATCAAAAATACACAGAAACTTAAGCCAGTCTTTAAAAATCATTGAAAATACCAGGTAACATCTCTCATTTCACTTGCAGTGAGCTCCTAAAATTTGTATATGAGTTGTTCCTCAACTAAGAAGTTCAATGACAATGACAAGCTTAAGAAGACAGTGTGAAACATCTGGGTTTGATAGAATAGTGAGCAAGGACATAAACCTAAACTATTTTTCTTAATATAACAAGCTGTGAGAATATTCACGAAAGGCTAAAGTCAGATCAGGCATCCCAAAGTAGAGGAAGTTTCACTCAGCATTTATTTTTGTCTTGTGAAACGGACCTCCTATGCCTAATCTTTAAACCTGATATAACTAATGTATACCAAGAACCAAATTGGGAATGGAAGGCTATTTGCTTACCGCCAGCACTCACTACACACATAATCATTTTGTTAGTTTCCTCAATGATCTCAGGATGAGAAAAAGAAAAGAGTAATAGTAGAAAAGGTTGGACCTGTCTTGGCCATGAAAGAGCAAGCTACAAACCTTCTATGCCAACTTCTGAAAACTGCAATGACCTATGAGTGAGACAGAATCAGGAGAGCCATAATTGTGGTTCTTAAATTTGACTTGTGCATTCTGCCACAGAAACTCCCTTGAGGAGGGCCCTGACCCTTTTCCAAGCAGCCAAAGTTGGCAAGCAACACTGTCACACACAGTGTGAAAGCACTGTTCATCACCAAATGTGGCTTACAAGTTTAGCCATTAAAAAAGAGAAGGTAAAACAAAGAATATACCTAAAAAATCAGGGACTTATTTATAAGCAAGACAGTGCTTCTAAGTAATACAATCAAGTGTCTGAGAAAGATAACTAAAAACAAATAATAGAATAAATAGCAAAGAGAAAAATATTGGACATTTTACGAGGAAATTAAGAATAGCAATTCCAATTTTTATTTCATATTTTAGTGGTTTTTAAGGTAAATTTACCCAAAATGGGCAACTTTCTTTGACTGCAAATGACTGCATGCACAAACCTAAAATACGCATTGTATTTCTGGATTCCAGGTTTCAAACACACCTTAATACTTGCCATTTCTTTTCTCACATTTGTGTCATTTAAATGATCCCAGGTTACAAATCCCTTTTTAATAGATTCTGTTTTTCTATTACCTATACTTTTAATTCCTCTTATCCTTTTTGAATCAAAATGCAACACTTTAAAAACCTTTGATGAGGCTGTGATGTAGCTGAGTGGTACCGTGCCTGGCTTGCGTAGGCCAAGTCTGCTCCTTATCACCACAGAAAGAAACAAGTAAATAAATGAACACAATAAAAAAAAACTTGGCTGGCTCACTGATTTTTTTTAAATTAATTTTTATTTATTTGCTTTTTATGTGGTACTGAGGAATCGAACCCAGGGCCTCATGCTTGCTAGGCAAGCACTCTACCACTGAGCCACCTTCCCAGCCCTGGCTCACTGATTTTTCTGTAGTAGAGAACTTCTGTGTGTGTATGTGTGTGTGCGCGCACTTACATACATATATATGAATGTTATACGTTACGTTTAAACCAACTTTACTTTCAACCACAGCGTTTTTCTAAACATACTACATAAGGAAAAACAGACGAAGATGAACATTTCATGCTAATTTAATTGTATCAATTTGGAAAATTCTATTCAAATGATTTCTCCTGAAAGAAACAAAAGGAAATGTTCCTGTATATTTAACTGTGTAATTACACTGTTATTAAAGACAAAGTACACCTGATTCAGGTTCAAACCAACTACTCCCATAGGCCAAGAACATGTTCCTACTGACCCTGAATAAAAGACTCACACAAATGCTCAAATGATTTGATGTACTTCCAAATCAGACATGCACTTACTTACCACACTGAGTTAGGAAATTATGCTCCATAACCTAGAGAGAACTAATTGTAAAGGAATAAAGTGTATACTGCACTACTGTTTTAGTAAGAAAACCTATATTAGTTCATCTGGTCCTATATTTTTATATACAAAATCTTAAATTTCATTTCTAAACTCAAATATACAAGATAATCATGAAAATTTAAAAAAAATCAGTATTGTTGAAGTAAAAGATCTCTTATGAAGCCATTATACTTCAAGTAGATATACTTGTAGATATACTTCAAAGATTAAATGAACTTGTCTAAATGCTTCTTATAAACAAATGTAATATCACTATGTAACTTTGACTTTTAGCCAATTCTAAATCTTTAGAGAGGAAAAAGCAAATGCATTTTTAATACTAATGGAATGAAATGATACTGTATGAATTTCTCATGTTTTAATGATGGTGTTTTGAGAACTCAAGGGTGATATTGATCCCTCTAATTTCAACAATGGAAGAAACTGAAAATCAATACAGTTCCATTGTGCTAAATGACTACTCAGGAGTTTGCTTCCTAAAACCACCTCCCGTTCCAGTCTGAGATTGTGGAATGTTCTCTAATTGTAATTTCTCCTTTCTGCTCTTAGAATCAGCAATGAATATGTGTTTCATATCGTCTATTACATCAAGTACATAAACAATAAAAACTCCAAGTTGTTAAAAAATGTAAACTAAATATTAAATAATCAGACATGAATTAAAATATATGTATACTTACAATAATTATAGCATTATAAATATGAACAAAAACTGGAAACAAATTTAAATCTAACAGTAGAGATTGGTTACATATAATAATTTTATATTCATGTAATAGAATAAGTTATTAAAACTTAAGTATGAAGGGGATTATTATAGAGTAAAAAAGGAAAGACATAAAGTAATATAGACCCAATTTTGTAAAGAAAAACACTGAAGAAAAAAATCAGAATATACAAACATACATACATATATATAGCTACTTACTAGACATAGTAAAAACCTGGGTAATTTTTACCTATTAGACATAGTTCTCATAATTTCCATTAACTATGTATAACTTTTACTTTAAAAGGTTGTTTCAAAAATACCAAAAAGTCTAAAGTAGCTTTTATTAAATTAGCCATTATTTTCTTTTCAAGTTGGATGGTCATCTCTAATTTAATCAAATGAATCAATATTAAATGATTACATATCTTTTGCAAAAATATTGTTTCACCTACAGATAATAAACCACATTACCAAACAATCCAATACCCACCTTGTTTTTCTTCAGGTGTTTCGATAAAATAAGGCATTCTCTTCACTGTTTCTCTCAATTCCTGTTTTAAGGCCAACATATAATCTTCATCTTCTCCTGTTTTCAGTGGCACTGGTTTATAATCTGTATCCTGTTTATTTAAATCAAAAGACAAAGTTAATTTTCATAAATTAAACATTCTTATATCTTTCCATTTACATTTTACAAAAAGCCAGTGTAAATGAAAAACTTCGTTTTACCATCATTGAATTTTACAGTCAGCTCAAAAGATATTGAGCTTCTGTAATCCATTTAACTTTATAAACCTTTTCCTAATTTACTCTTATTTTAGAAGTAGGGAAAATGCATAACTTTTCTATTGACTCTAATGTACACATTGGCAATCATTTTGCCATAGTATCTGTTGATCAAATGATTCCATACTTGAAAAAGTAAGGCAACCAAATGAGAGAAACTGCATTATTTCCTGCTAATTTCAATTAGTGGTGATGTTATAAGTCGGAATGGTCACATAAAAATAAATGAATGGCTCATGCCTGTAATCCTAGCTACTCAGGAGGCTGAGATCTGGCAATTCGAAGCCAGCCCAGGCAAGAAAGTCTGTGAAATTCTTATCTCCAATTAATCACAGAAAAAGCTGGAAGTAAACTGCTCCATGCTGGTCATGAATAAATAAATAAATAAATAAAGGCATCAATCTTGTAGGAAATGATTACTAAACTTATATCAACCCAATATTCAATATCCTCTGTCTCCTTTTAAGTATTATCAATACTTTCTCTTTTTATAATGAATTAAGACATGAATGGTTTATAAGCCATATAAAGATTAAAGGCCAAATGGGAGTTTTGGATTCAGCATTTCTACATATATATGCAGGTACAAACATGTGTAGACAACAGGAGATATCCTGAGGAACTAGTCAAAACTCCTACACACATGGACCTTTCTTTCTGAGGAAGAAATATACAATGAATAAACCAATGTAGTAAGATTCAATTTCGTAGTTTACAAGTAACATGGCAGAGGAAGAATGACTAACAAGAGCCCAAGGAAGTTGGCAGTTGCTAGTCTACATAATGAAAGTATACATAGCCTTTTAGAAAGTCATATTTGAGCAGAGGCGTGTACAAAACCAAGTAGCCATCCAGACAAACACAGGAGCACAGAAAGTTCCCGACAGGAAACTTACAGAGATAAATCCCTGAGAGAGAAATAAAGTCAGCCTAGCTAGGACATGAAAAAGATTGTGGTGGGAAATATCAGATGTCAGAAACTTTAAATTGTTTTAAAAGTAATCTCACATATGGAGAAGAGCTAGTTTTGAAAAACTTCCAGTAATGTTATTCCTATACCTGAAATACTTGAGTTTTTTAGGTTTCACCAAGTATGAACATGGCTTATTATCTACAGTAAAAAGCAGACATCTAAGAGGAACATCTAGACTTTAGATATATATATATGTTAGGACCTTCTACTGATATAAGTCCTTCAACAAAGGCTGAGTGAGTTGGTGTGTTCCTGCTATCACAGACAGCTACCAGGGAAGTACACTCATTTACCTTCTTATACTTGAGTATATAACTCATGTATGTAACTTAAGTGTAAGAAAGAATAAGGTGGCATTTAATATTCAAGGCATATATAGAATTTTTAATTATCTCTGAAACATAAAAAAGTAAGCTGTGTGAAGTCAGCTGTCAATGTACTTACAGGAAATAGTGGGGGTGGTTTCAAAACTACATCAGGTAGCTTTTCACCTCGGCCAAATCCAACAGCCTCAATATTAAAGGTATAAGCAGCACGTCCTCTTCCTTTATTCCCAGCCATCAGAAGTAGTTTCAGGAGGACAGCAGGCAAATCCTGAAAAACACAATTAATAATACAATTACTTCATCATATATAAAGAGACACCAACATTTAAGAGCTAAATGTACAACTCTACCTTGTATAAGGAGTGGACTCAAAATACTCTTGGTAAACCAAGATGTGTAAAGAAATAAGTGACTATTGATAGTTGAACTGTTCATGTTCAGCCACATTTTCAGTGGAAGGCTGATTCTGGGTCTCCTCTGTGATGCTGCCTGAATACCTACACAGCCAACTGGTGCAACTCTCTCCATCCTTCTAGGGTTTGGCAAGAGTATATCAGGTTCAGGAAAGCACAGGGGAAGACAAGGAGGAATCTTGTTTGTAGCAACTTGAAAACCATCATTAACTATAAATACCCTAATTTTTTAAATGAGTTCTTCACCCTAGAATTTGAATGGTAGGAAGACTTCTTGAGTTCTAGTCCAACAGCTTTCTCTCAAAATTGGGAACTGGACCAGTAAGACTATGAAGGGGTCTGTGTTAGTTAGATTTGCATCCCTGTAAGATATACTTGAGAAAAATAACTGAAGTGAAGAAGGATTTATTTTTTTCTCATGGTTTTGAAGGAGGTCCACTCTATTAAGACAAAGGGGGAATGGGGGAGCAGAGGAATTTATGTCATGGAAAGGCAACAGAAGGGAAGCAGGCTGGGGATGATACACAGGCTCCAAAGACACGTTTTTCAGTGACCTACTTTCTCCAGCTAGTAGTTTCCAAATTCACACAAAACAGCATCATTCACTTGGTTCTAAGCTTTCAACACATGAGAGTGGGGATATATTTCAAGGTCAAACTACAGTATAGTCTATTCAAGACTCCCTTCACCAAAGAAGTTGAGAAAACCCCTGAAATTGTTCAACTAAAGCTAAGATAAATTATGTAAACTTTGGGAACAGTAATTTTATCACATACTCAAGTCTTTCTATTGAACTTCTGAAATGTCTGAACTATGACTTATTGTATCAGTGGGCTCAGGTGGCAATGCACTTAAGGGGCTCTTTCAATGGAATTCTACATTCAAAAATTCTACATTCAAATGAGGCAATGACTGCAACAAATATTTCTTACAATTTTCCTCCCAAGGATAATGCTGAACATCATGTAACTGTGACAGCCAAAGCCCAAGAGAGCAGTGGTTTGTCCTCAGAACCCCCGAAAAGAGAAGTAGGGGTTTGTTTTTTCTGCTCACTTGGCTTAGTGTCATTTCCTATCAAACCACTTGTCCTGCATTCAAGATCACACAGGGTGAGTATCTCACTCAGCTGCTGCTCTTGTCACTGGATTGTCTTACCTGGACTAAAGATCATTGCTGTTACTCCTTTCAAATTTGCTAATTAATGAGGAACACCTCCTATGACTAACAACAGGCCACTTCTTTGGAATTTTACCATCTACCCTTGGAATGATCCAAAAGCCTAAAAGAATTCATATTTACTGAATCATAGAGCCAACCTTCAAAATAACCAGTTCTCAACCCTGGATGCAATTGCCTAGGTAGCTTAAAAATTTAGAGCAGTGGGTCTCGAAGAATGGTGTCTGCAACAGTATCACCCAGGAACTGGTTCAAAATGCAAATTGTGGGGTACCACCACAGGCCTAAAGAACAACAGGAAAAAAAAACCAAACAAACTCTGAGTCAGCTAGAATTTTCCTATAAAGTATGCATTTATGTTCTAAGAAGCCCTCGTGATAGTTCTGACACAGACAAAAGTTTGTGAATCACTCAATCAAGATTTCTAGGAATGAGGAATGAACAAAAAGTTTGAAAACCTATTCTCAGAGAATACTGGAAGAACTATTCTGGGAAACATCTTCTAAGTAGTAGATTTGTTAAAATATGCCTGTAGAACCAGGTGCTTCATAGACTCCTTTTTTTTTTTTTCTGGTGCCATATCAGGGCTTGAACTCAGAGCCTTGCACTTGATTACTCAGGCACTCTATCACTAGAGTCACACCTGTCTATTCTGTTCATTGGTTGGAATTCTACCCAAGATTAATTTTCCTTATCCACTCTTCAGCTACTGTGAAACAAAATTAGGATGGGAAACACATCTTAATAACCAAGCTAATTCCCTCTATCTAAATTAAAAGAGAAGGGAAATATTTACATGGCCTTGTTTCAGATGCTGAGTCACGGAAACATACACTGAGTCTTTCAAGTATGAAAACTGCTGAGTAGAAAGGCTCATACCTTCACTCTAACAAGCAGCAGCTGGAGTCCAATAGGTGTGGCCAGGACCACCGGGCTCCATTCCAATCCCAGATTTGCCATTAATTAAAGACTAAGAACAAGCCTAGGTAGGTAAAAGTTACCAAACTTGCCTGACCATGGAAATGAACTAGACTAATAAAATAAGACATAAAACATGCTGAATCCTAGGGGATCTGCAAGTCCTCAAACGGACTACCCCCAAATCTTTTCTGGTGAGGGTCCTGGAAACATATTAGAAAAACTCACCCTACAAGGAATTTTATCAGTTTATGGAACAGCCCCAAAATCATCAAATTTTGCTGATTCTAATTTATCTCAAAGATAAAAGTCTTTGACTTTTATCAATTAATCACCAAAAAAGCCAGAAGTGGAGCTTTGGCGCAAGTAACAGAGCACCAGCCTTGAGAAAAAAAGCTAAGGCATAGCACACCCCAATACTGTCACAAAAGAAAAATCCCATCTTGGCAGTAAAATCCCACCGTGAGACTTTGTTAATCATTACATAGCATTCTGACCTTATAAACCCATTCTTTTTAAGTCAATGTGTCAGTGCCCCTGTACTCAATCAGTGGTTAATCCACTTTCTTCCTTTGTAGAGATAAAGGTTGTCCTTCAATTCATAACTGTATCACGGAACAAATAGTTTCCAAGCGACCAATATCACTCTTTTGAAATCCTCTATGATAATAGTCTCACTGCTTTGTTCCTTTATTTCATTCAGCCAAAAAAAATTTGGGGGGGGTTTTGAACCCATGGCCTCATGGCTCTCTCCTCTTGATCCACTCCCTCAGCCCTTGGGCAAACTTCTATAAAGGATTTTTATAGCTTTTTCTAGTTGCTTCTTAGCCAAATCTTCTTCAGTTTCAAGTGGTCCAATTTAACTGAGTCAGTCAGCAAATATTGAGCATTCTAGCTAGAAAACAGACAACATGGAACAGATCAATCACTTAATTCTTGCTACAAAATGTTACTTTCTTTCTAATTTTTCTATCACAGTCCAGCTTTACCACTCAGCTTCTGCTGAGAACACTGCAATATTTCTGGTCATTTTCTCTGATTCATTCACATTATACATCCTAATATACAACTTTGAGTATGCTACTCATATGATGTTCTGTCTTGGCTTCTCAATAAAAGGCAAAGTCCCTATCTAAGTATTCAGGTTAAAACCTACCTTTTTAAGTGGTTTCAACTTACCGTCCTGATACCCCATCTATAATCATGCCTTGACTACAAGTTTCTCCACTGCAGCCTGCTCCTTTTTCTTTTCCTGGCAGCATCCACTTTCACCTTTGTCTAGCTTAGATATCTCAACATGCCAACAATGCTATCCCATCTTGATCTTAGAAATATACGCTTACAAATGGACTCTTAAAACTGATATGTGTATTATATATGTACATATATATGTACATATATAATAAGTTGCTATTCTAGAAAGAATATTGATTTGATTTGGGGAAATGGGCCTTTTACAAAGAAGAGGAATTTCATTTATGGTTTTTTGTTTGTTGGTTTCTTCAACAGAATCAACAATAGAGAATTTATATCCCTCAGTGTCTAGCACATTATATACAGCAACTGCTCCACAAGTGATGTCAAGCATCTCAATTTATTACTTAAGTACTATAATCTGAAGAGCAAATCTACACATATAAGTACAGTTCAGCCAGGTGCCTTTGGCTCATACTGTAATCCTTAGCTAGTCAGGAGGCTGAGATCTGAGGGTCATGGCTGGATGCCAGCTTGGGCAGGAAAGTCTGTGTCACTTTTGTCTTCAATTAACCACCAAAAAGCTGAAAGAAGAGCTGTGTCTCAAGTTGTAGAACAACTGCCTTGATCAAAAAAGATAAGGCACACACACACACACTACAAAAGTACAATGCAATTAGTCTACTGTCAGGGTTAATTTTGCTTGCTTAACTTCCTGAACTAAAAAATTAAAAATGGAAAAAAAATCAAACAACAAAATACCTGGGCTTCAACCAGAGGAATAAAACCAAGATTGCTACAGTCAGGAATTACTGCCGGTACTTTTGAAGCATCCCAGGAAATTAAAATGTGTAAGTTAAATTAAAAACCATAGCAGATTAAATCTCCCATTTTACAGAAGAGGAAATTGAGGCCCTCAAAAAGGTAACTGATAATCTTAAAATTAATTCCTATCAAAGGCAGGAATGAGCTAAGGCCTCAAGAAACCTTCCCATGTCTTCTCATCCATAATATGCTTCCTGAAGCACATGTCTAGACTAGTTGAAGGCCTTTTTAATCACAGGGATGTCTTTAATCAACTAAGTAAATTAATAACTACAAAAATGCTATTAAATCAATAGCACTGTCCTTATAATTCAGTATGTCTCTTAGAAATTCCTATTCAGAATTTGTTCTGACAGGTTTGAAAACTGGAGCAGTTTGAGAATCCAAGAGCTGAAATACACAAGTCCATTTTAATAAACTATAAAAATAATCTCCTTTAACTTAAAAATATCACAAAAAATTGATACAAATAAAATCATCCTCCTGGAATAGGCTAAGCTAGTCTCTGAATTTCCCCCAACCTCTTAAGTTTTGTGTTATGACTGTGACACAATTCTTTGCACATATTAGCTAGATAAGTAAATGTACAAACAGATGGGAGGTAGGGGAGGCAGTATCTTTCTTGTGGGTGATTTAATTGCTCAACCAGGAGGCTGCTAGACATTCTGCTAGGACTGTCTCCTTTGAGGCCTTGCATCTAACAGCAGAGGACAATAAACTGTGTGTTCTCTCCCTTTAGTTTATAGCCAGATTCCCCCCTTTCAATCCAGTCTCCAGTCATCTTTCTAGGATGCAAATTACACATCACATTATTTAATCAACAAAGCTTTGGAGTCTAACTTTTTGGATCTACATGTCCACACTAGGTACACCTGCTCTCAGATGCTCCTTCTGCCAGGCAGGCCCTTTCTGCCATTACCTTCACAAGCCCTAGCATCTTTGAAATGCATGACACTTCTCTTAAAATACATTCCTCTACTCCCTTATTTGTACACTATATTATCCTATATTACTCTGGCTCTTTTGGCAGTCATGTTACTTGTCATCTTATCTGTCTCCCCAAGGAGAGTCTTCAGTCATCTAGTCTTTATTAAGGACCCTAGGTGTAAGGCCATCTTGTATATATTGGGCATATAGTGCTAAGCAAAAGAAAAATCTCTGCTCTGTCATGGGGCTCACATTCTATGGAAAAATGGGCAAAATACAAATACTGCCATGGGAAGTGAAGCTGTGGCTTAAAAAAGAGTGCTAGCCTTCAGCAAAAAAGCCCAGGGACAGTGGCCAGGCCCTGAGTTCAAGCCCCATGACTGACCAAAAAAAGAGACTATCTTAAAGTAAGAAAGTCCAAATAACTGGGCTGGGATGTAGCTATGCTCCATCCCTAGTACCCAAAATGAAAAGACAAAAAAAAAGTAGTTAAAAATAAAACAAAAAAGTATGGACTAATAAGTATGCAAATAAAAATAAAGTAAGTAATATAAAAGCTATTGTGGAAAGGACAGTTGAAGCCCTATCTTATTCAGTAATATTCCAGCATAAACCTGACAAGAGTTGAGAAAAGAGTCATGCAGAGAAAGAAAAAGGGATAGTCATGAGGAAGTGAGCTACAGACAGAGGGACAAATAAACGTGAAGGCCTTCTTAAAGACCTGT